TCTCACCCCCCCCCCATCTATCTTGGGGCTTGACCTCTGGGCCTGGGCACTGTCCCTCAGCTCTTCAGCTCAAGGCTAGCACTCTCCCACTTGAGCCACAGTGCCACTTCTGGCTTTTTGAGTGGTTAATTGGTGATAAGAATCTCAGAGGGACTTTCCTGCTGGGGCTGGCTTTGAACCTCCATCCTCGAATCACACCCTCCTGAGTAGCTAGGATTATAGGCATGAGCCACCACTGCCCTGCTTCTTCTTCCCTTTTTTCTTAAAGACCTTGTTATCTATGCGTATGTGTGTGTGTAATGTGTACATATGTGTGTATGTGCTCCTGGCTGACCTGCAATCAAAATCTTAATGTTTTCTTGTAATGTAGGGCCTGGTAGTGCCTGGAAGCACTCTACCACTGACTTAACAGCTTCAGCTGTTATTTTTGGGCAAAGTTTTGCTATGTTGTCCAGGTTGGCTTCAAACTCTTGGACTCAAACCATACTCTTGCTTAGTCTCTCTCTCTTTTTCCCTAGTACTTGGGATTGAGCTCAGGGCCTCCAACTCTCCCTTGGTCTTTTCAATCACCATTGGCACTCTACCAGTTGAGCCAACGTCCATTTCTTGCTTTAGGCTGGTTATTTTGGAGATGAAAGTCTCTTGGATTTGTCTGCCAGTGTAACACTGGCTTCGAACATTGATTCTCAGGTCTCATCCTTCTCAATTGCTAGGATTACAAACATGCAGCACCAGCACCCAGCTCAGTAGTCTCAAATGCAGCAGTTTCTGTGTTCTTTCAACACATTTCTCCATTCTTTGAATATTTCTATACTTTTTACTCAAAATGGTTTAGATCTTTTCATGTTTTCTTTGCCCCAGGTCTGGGGTCAATCATTCCTCTATGAAGCCTTAGCAGAATTTAGGAACCAAGGTCCAGGTGCTAAGATTGTTCTTCGGTGCCAGGAATCCAAAGGTTATTAATACTACTAGAAGCAAATGCTCCGGGAAGTGTGTGCATATCAGTCTCTGTGTCTTATTTCTATGTTACTTTAAAAACTAAGTTTATACCAATACTAGACTTATTTTCTTAACTTCTTGCTTGAATTCCTATTAAAAGCAAAGTATAAGTGCTTATAAGTAAAAATAGTTATTGCTAAACTAACCTGATGTTAAGGGTCCAGTTTTTATAATTTAGAGAAATTATGAGATGAAAAATAGCCTATTCTGAACTGAAGCCTCATTGTATCGTTAATTTTGATCAGTATTTTAACTGCAGTTTGGCAAGTGACGAGTAACTACTTTTCTTTTTTTCTGTTACAGGAAGAGAGATTATGAAAGCTATTTATGCTCCCTGCTTCTCCCTGCAGAATCCCGAAGCTCTGCTTTTGCACTGAGGGCTTTCAATGTGGAACTGGCTCAGGCTGGTATTAGAATATCTTCAAATATTTTTTATAAGATGGTGTTGGAAGTAGAGCTGTGGCTAAAAATGGTAGAGCACTAGCCTTGCACACAAAATTTTAGCAACAGCACCCAGGCCCTGAGTTCAAGCCCCACAACCAAAAAAGAAAAAAAAAATCCAAACAACAACAAAAGGATGATGTTATAATGTATCTAATGCTGAATAATAAGGAAATATAGTTGTAATTTCTGTGTTAGTTGTATTTAAAGTCTGCTAATAATTTCTTTCTCCTGCTAACTAGGCTTAATTCAGTATAAGTAATAAAATCAGCTAATGAACTTAATGTTTCTGGAAATGCTATTCTAGAGTTTTGTTTATTTTGTTTTTTCTGACAGTGCTGGGATTCCTGCTTATTAGCCTGGTGCTCTACTACTTAAGCCATGCTCCTAGCCCTTTTTGCTTTATTTTTCTAATATTTTAAATATAATTTTATTGTTGTTATGAAGGTGTCACACAGAGAGGTTACCATTTCATTTTTT